CCTGAGCTGTGTCTGCCGATACGAACACCGGCCGGTTATCGTTGACGTCCAGCAGGAAGAGCTGAGCCGTCACCGAAGCCTGTTTACGCTCATTCTTCTCCTTCGCCTGATCTGTGGTTGTTACAGTGAATGCGAAGCTGGGGGTGCTCTCGCGATCTAAAGGTGCTGCTACAGTCAGGCTCCCCGTGTAAGGGTCGATCCGAAAGGGGAAGGGTGATGATGACCCGCTGACTTCAGCGTCAAAGGCGAGCTCATAGCGGAGGGCACTGTTTGGAAAGGTCCCGTCAGCGTCTCTGGCATGAAAAGCGTACGCCAGCGATCCGACTGCAGCGTCCTCCCTCAGACCAAACATCACCAGTTTATCAGGGAACCAGGGCGTGTGGTCGTTCACATCCTCCACTATCACACAAATCAGAACAGACACATTCACGATGGGAATGAGGCTGGCGTCCTCAGCACGAACCACGAGGAAGTACTGCATGGCAGCCTCGTAATCCAGCGGCTGGTTGATGTATATGTCACCGAAGGAGCTGTCGATCCCAAAGTGAACACTCCCGTCCCCCTCAGTGATGGAGTAGTGAGATCTCCCTTTATCTGAAACACGTGCAGAGCCAATAACAGTCGCAGGCTCCGTGTCCTCCCGCACCAAAATGCGTCTCACAATTTGGCGATCGGAGCGGCCGTACGGATCTTCTAATCCATGAATCTGAAAAGCACAAAAAAAGACAAAGTTTTAGTTTGCTATAATTACCTTTTTTCCCTCCGTTTGGATTATGGGAGGAAAGCACTTGTCCAAACCCAGCTTTACTCTTTACGGTTATTAATTTAAAGTTAGGATGAAAAGATACAAACAATAAAGCAATAAAATACTGTACTGTATAAAAATGAGTGTAAACTTCCAAAACAGTTAATGCAGTATTTTTGTAAAATCTCTTGAATTAAAGCTGATCGTTCATACTGCAATTAAATAATATGTCACTGTTTTTAAAGGTGTGGCCTAACTGGAGCACAGCCCGTACCTGTACATGAATGACTGCAGTGTCCTCCTGAGAGATGACTCCGCTGTCCCTGGCGGTCACTTTCAGAGTGTAGTACGCTTTTGCATCTTGGTTGAAGAGCTCTGTTGTTGTGATATCTCCAGTTTCGCTGTCAATCTCAAAGTGCTCCAGATCATCATCTTCGAAAGCAGACAAAAAGAGATGCGAACAGAGCGAACTGTTAATAACACAGGTCTGCAACAAAAAAACGGCACGGGATTTTCTGACTGTTTCTTATAGATTTTTACTCACTGAAACTATGAAAAATATTTTTTAAATTCCATCCTCGTCAGGTTTGCTTCCACAACTCTTGTTTTTAGTCTAATTAAGCGTACGATGCCCCTTTTTAAACTGAAGTCCGGTATCCTATACTTGAGTCAAAAAACCATATCCATTAATAATTTCTTACATTAATTTAATATTTCTAGGAGTGAGACTCAAGAGAAATATAAATAGAAAATGTGAGGAATTGAGGACAGGGGGTCGGGGTGCGGTGAGCTTGGCGGGATGAGGAGCTCAGATGATCGTGTCCCAACAGGTTTATTTTGTTCATAGTGAAAGGTAAGGAATCTCAGAAACACTATGCATAGTTAATTGTAATAATAATATTTATTTTTTTCCATCGCTGTTTTTTATGTGAACTCACGTGATTACGTGATTGAGGGAAATGGAGATCATTTTTAGATTCAGCACCCTAAAAAACATAAATTTACCAAAAACATCCCATGCAGCTAAAAAAAAACTTTTTTTCAGACCAAGTCTGTATAGTCAGTCAGGACACACGTTTACAGCTCACCTGTGACCAGTGAATGAATAACTGTTCCATTCTCTCCTGCGTCCAAGTCTTTGGCAAACATGTTCGTGACCAAGGATCCTGACTGTAGACCAGCCCATACCTGAAGTGAACACGTAGAGCGCATAACTACATCTGACAACATAACAACACATACACTAAAGATATAGTGTAGAATTTGCACAACTGTATCTAATCTTAGACACTAAGTCATATTTATCTCGAGTTCATTTTTTCATGGCACATATATACGTTAATGTTCACAGTAAATTAGTGCTTGAAGTAATTTATGATATTTTGATATTTGCTCTCCTTAAACTTGCTTTTTAATGTGTGCTGATAATATGTTGTGTAGTGATCATACATGGTCCTTATTAGCATATACACATGCTACAGTATTACTTAGATAAATTATCCCACTTAGATCATTTTTGCCTGGTACTAGGTCTTTGAGAGACAACACGATGACACCAAAATCTATAATATATCAATTTGTGTAGCAGGTATTGATACATGTGGTGGATGTTGTGACGGTGTAATAATTTCTAATATTAAATAATGCTGGTATATGGGGAATATTGTCATGTTTTTTTGTATTAACTCGTCGACCTGTACTTAGTTTTCACGTAGTTTTTCTTTTCCATGTCTTTAACTGCCTGCTTCATGAGCTGCTCTGTGTCTGTCTTCACTATTTCTGTGTCTTCTTCTTATTTCTGTTTTTTCTTAGTGTAAAGGACTTTTTCCTGCCCTTGTGCTTGTCATTTTGGTTAGGTATTAATCAAAACAACATTAAAGTACCTTTACAGACTAACAATTTGTTTTTTGCCTACATGTGAACTTCCTGAGTTTTACCGCTAAAGTAACAAATGCATTTCCTGATGCATCAAAAGGCAACAACGGCTAAATGTTATTGAGAAGCATGTGCAGTTTGGAGCGCAGATGTAACTGTAATTTATCAAGACTGCTTTTGATTGCATCAGTAGTTGCATCACGTTGTGATGAAGACGCGTCGTTCTTACCTGCACATTCAGCTCTTTACTGGCTGGCAGGTAAGTGAACTGCGGCGCGTTGTCATTGATGTCGGCGATCAGGATGTGAACGGTGGCGGTGGCATTGAGACGAGGGTGACCCTGATCTGTCACCATCACCTTCAGACTGTGCTGGCTGTACTGTTCCCGGTCCAGTGCCACCCAGTTGATGATTTCACCTGGCAGAAAATGGAGAAAGGTTAATGTCACATCGGTGACCATGGAGCACAAGGTAACTTTAAGGTGGTGTTACTTGATGTGTTTGTACCTGTTTTAGCATTGATTCGGAAGAATTTCCCATCTGAGAGCAGGAGATAGGACAACTGGCTGTTTTTCCCAGAATCCTTATCCACGGCCTTGACGGTTCCCACCAGACCTTGTGGCGACGACCCCTCCAACACAGTGAAGTAGTAAACGTCCCTGCTGAACACCGGGGCGTTGTCATTGATATCCAGCACCAGCACCGTCACTGTGGCCATAGCCGTGGTATTTGACAGTGAAGCCTCCGTAGCCAACACTCGAAAATGATACTTGGACTCTGTCTCATAGTCCAGGTTGGCTGAGAGATACAACCATCCCGTCTTTGGGTGAATCCGAAACGGAACCAGAGGGAAGCCAGGTTCTCCTTCCAAAGAGTAGATGATGCCGGAGTTTGAAATGTGGGCTCCACGGGTTCGGTGAGCCCTCGCTTGGATGACCCGAGCATCTTTCCTGTAGCCCTCCCCAATCTCCACGTGATAGATCAACGTCTCAAATGCCAGGCTGTCTTCGGCAGTCGTTTGGTCTACGTTTACTGAGAGGGTCAGGGTGGAGCTCAGGGAAGGTTCTCCTTCATCTTTGGCCACAATCTCCAGCTTGTATCCCTGCTGATGATCCATCTCTAAACTCTCATTTAGCGTAACCGTCCCGAGATTGTGATCAATAACAAACACGCCATTTTCCCTGCTCTTCAGGTAATACTGCACCCGACCATTGGCACCGCTGTCATAGTCATGCGCGTGAGCGATGAACAACACGGTTCCCGGTCGAGTGTTTTGTGACACCGTGATGGTGTCACTATGTTTGGGGAAAATGGGGGCGTTGTCATTAACGTCAGCTACAGTGATGTTGACTTGGGTGGTGCTGTAAACGGGAGAGGCGTCGGTGTAGGACTGAAGAACCAGAAGAGCGTACGACTGAGACTCGTGATCCAGGGGCTTGAGGTTAGTGATCAGACCCAACTTTGGATGAACGGAGAAAAAACTCTGAGGGTCTCCAGAAGAGATTCGATAAGATACAGATTCCATGGAGTCTGTAGAAAAAACAACAAAACCACTTTCTTCCCTTTAAAATAGTCATAAAAATTTAAAGGGCTTACATAAATTAGACATTTAAAGACATGTTCTAGATGTCTTGGGATTTAATCAGATGTAACTTTGAATGCACACACACACACACACGCTAATACACTTTAAGTAATTAAAGCACAGGCCAGAAGATCCCATTAATCCCCTGCAAGTGTTTGTTGTGCTTCGACTGTAAACTAAAAACTCCTGAAACAAGCAGAGAGCTTAATGATGCTCGACTCCTGTCAAACAGCCCCAATTCTGCTGTTTCTGCTTTAAGTCGAAGTGTTAATCTCTTAAGTGATTAGACAGCCTTGAATGACTGTCTAGTGCTGTTGGGGCGTTTAGCTGTTGAAGGCATTCGGTGGAAAAACAAGACTATGAGGAGATAATTATGAATCCCTTTACTCTTTGAAAACCATCTACGCAGAGGTTTTTTTAAGATACTGAGAATAAAATTAGAAATGATATCCACTCTTCTATTACTTAAACTGTTGCCACCACAACCTGCTGTTATATTTAACAGAAAGCGCCCAATAAATAAGTTTAGAACAACAAGGAAGAAAGCGAGCAGGTTGATCTGTAACAGGATTGTTTCTGATGTAGATGCAGCACACTGCACAGCTACTCTTTATTATCTGTCATGTGTTCGTGAGACTCAAAGGGATTAAAGATTAAACTTTAGCTTCTTCATGTCTGAAAGGAGATTTGAGCAACTTTTCTGTCGCAATCATCTGTCGGGATATTAATGCCTTTGTGTAACAGCCACCTATTCTGAATGTGTCTAAATCCAGTTATTATGTTTCAAGAGACCTATGAAGCACGATAATGTCAGTACCTACACTAATCCACCTCATATTAAACAGCTGTATAGGTTTAAAAATATATATTTCAAGATACAGATGTTAGCTTTGCTTGTTTAGCTTATCTTACCATAAAGCTGATAAAGTTTACGAACCATCCCAACTGAATTTCTTTCAACTGGAGGTCAAAAAGAAACTCAGCGATTTTCAGAGTCCTGCTCACACAAACGTAACTCTCAGCAGCACGTGATTACAGCAGGACGCTGGAGCAGCACTAGCTTGAAGCTTTTACTATAGCTTTATTATGCAAGAACACTTTTACGCTTTGTTCCTTTTGTTTGCACTCGTGACAAAAGCATAAAGAAGAGAGAAACTTATAAAATGTTCAAAATGTTTTTCAGCTTTAAAACTGATGTTTTATTTTGAGGGACTGATTCAGATCCTTTACTGAGAGTTTGAAGCTCTCAGAGTATAATTGGACTGACAAATTACACTATATGAACAAAAGTATTGGGACACACCTCTCTGTTATTGAACTCAGCTGCTTCAGTATAAAATTTTAGCATCATGGTGCCAAAATGGCTCGATGAATTTGAGAATGTTACTTCAACAATGCAACAAGTAAGTTTGTGGGATTTCGTCCCTCCAAGTGATTCCCTGATCACCTATTAGTGGGGTTACAGCGAAATGGAAGCATTTAGGAACCTTAGCCTCACAGCCAAGAAGTGGCAGAGCAGGTGAAGTTACAGGTGTATGTTGTGTCCTCTACAGCAACTCAACAAAATCTTAGTTGTTAAACTTCTCCCGTTGCTGTAGTGATGTTCAGCAGAGGTAGAGTCTGGGACCTTGTGATGACTCTCTCCCAGCTGCTCTAGCATCAGTTTGGATAATAATGAGCAGATAATACAAGTCTAACCTGTTGGGTTGATGGCCTGCACCGTCCCCACAGGTGTCCCCGGTGGTGCGTCCTCAGGCACTGTGAAAGCGTAACGTGACCTCTGGAACACAGCTGGAGCCTGAGCACTGCGTAAAACATTGATCGTGACCTCTGCAGGTCTGGCTGAGATCGAGCCTCCTCCGTCCTGTGCTGTTATCAAGAGCTTTACATTAGCTGTGCCCAGGTGGGTCAGAGTGGAGGTCAGGAGAAGCATTCCTACAGAAGAAAAATACGACATAAAGAAATTAATTTAAAATGTTTTTATTTTTCCCCAGTTCCTTTCTGCTTTTCAAATGTGTGAAATGAGATTCACAACACTTCACATTTATTATATTGACAGATGGGAAGGACAGGGCTTGTTTTTGTAACCAAAATGCATCTTATAAGTGCAAGAGAATCAATATATGTCTATATATATATAGACATATATTGTCTATATGTCCGGGGCGATCGTGGCTCAAGAGTTGGGAGTTCGCCTTGTAATTGGAAGGTTGCCGGTTCGAGCCCCGGCTTGGACAGTCTCCGTCGTTGTGTCCTTGGGCAAGACACTTCCCCCGTTGCCTGGTGGTGGTCAGAGGGCCCGGTGGCGCCAGTGTCCAGCAGCCTCGCCTCTGTCAGTGCGCCCCAGGGCGGCTGTGGCTACAATGCAGCTTGCCATCACCAATGTGTGGATGACTGGATATATAGAGCGCTTTAGGGTCCTTAGGGACTAGTAAAGCGCTATATAAATACAGGCCATTTACCATTTACCATATAAACAAATGCAGGCAGTAAAGTGTCAGAAAGTTTTCTTTTCCTATAATTTATCCATTTCATGGTGTTAAATTTTGGCTGAGCACGAATCTTATCTTACCCCTTAGCCACCTGGGGATCTAAGCCTTTTGGGGCTTTCTGCATCACCCCTGCTGAGCTGTGACATTGACAATCATTTCATGGGGACTTACACAAAGTAAGCAGTTGTTTATCCCTGAATAATGGAGCCTGCCAGTCACACGGTTTACTTAAAGACTACTGATTGGATCAATGTGACAAATCAAGCTTAAGAAGTCAAAATGCTATCCTTTACCAAGACTGAAACCTACACAAAGCTTTATTTATTTCAGTATTGGAAAAGCAACAGTTGGTTCACTGGAAATTGTGTCCACACACTTATGTTCAGACTACAACAGAAAGTGTTCTCACATCTTTACGGCCCTACCTGTTTGTTTATCCAGCGAAAACAAAGTGGACATGTCGCCAGGAAGGAGGTCGTAGGTAACCTGGCCAAACCTGCCAGAATCTCTGTCAGTGGCAATAACGCTGACGATCTCTGTGCCAGGCTGCGCGTGGCTGCTGATGCTCACGGTGTACTCCTCAGGGCTGAACACTGGAGCGTTGTCGTTCAAGTCCTCGATCTCAATGTGCACATAGGTTTGAGCACTCAAGCCTCCCTGAGGGAGAGAATTTTATTAGTACCCAGAAATTAGGGACGAATTGTTTAAATGAAATCCACTGTTATATATCTGTGTGTCACTCACTGGATCCTCAGCCTTGATCAGGATGTCGTGGACCGTCTGTCCCGTATCTCGATCAATATCCTGGTAGACGCACAGCTCTCCGGTGTGGGGGTTTATTTGGAAGAGCGGATGTGTGGCCTGTTTGTCGAAGCCATCAGACAGAGAGTAGAGCAGCGTCCCAAACTCAGGGCTGTCTGCATCTGTAGCGACGACCTAAAGAGAAGAGAAATGCAGGCATGAAAACAGGAGGTGCAAAAATGAAAACACCTTAAATCATTTCTTTAAGACAAAAGAGAAATTCAATTAAAACCAGTGCTGCAGAATAACTGGGAACAATTTAGTGTAAAACTTATATATTCATATCTAAGGTCATATGTGGGAAAAAAAACCATTAAATAACTAATTAAAAACCTATCATCAGCCTATAATGTGCTATATGTGCTGCATATGGTGTAATTATGATCATCTAAGATGATTTTCTTCACAACTTTAACAGGTAACTGTTACCTTTCTGGTAAAAATGGTGCCCTGATCCTTTATTTTAATAAGCACATGTTTAAAGGGGAAACCCTAAACAATTACACTGTAATGCTAAAAATAAAACAAAGGTAAAACATGTAATATGTTTAATAAAAATATAAAGAATTAAGAGAAACACTTTTGAAAAATGTCCACAGGTAGATTATTTGGTTTAGGTGAGCTTAGATTTTGTACCTGATACTGGTCGTTGAAAATGAAAATAATAACAAGGCCTTTATCAATAACTCAACAATATAACTGAACTTATATGATGATGATGAAGCGAGGAAGAACACCTCCTTAGTTAGTGATGATTGAATGATTACGACATTTGTGTTCATCGCTGCCCAGTTTTTAAGTGATCTGAGAACGAAAGAGCTCAGTATGAAATGACATGGACGTGATTAATAACTGACTAATTATTATTAATCAATAACTGCATTAACGAATATATTGTTCTTGAATCAAAGCACACACTAGACAGTCTTTGTGGTTCATGCAGTTTGTCATGAATTCATTCATGCTTTGTGTTTCAATTCATGTCCCTCATCTTATGAAGCTTGTGTGCACATAACTGCAATATATATATATA